GTATCCGCTCGGGCCTGGGTAGCCGCGGGCGGAGCGAGCCTGAAAAAACCTTAACCTGCTGGTGCCCCCAAGCTGCGCGATCCCGCAACTGTGACCTGGGAAGGAACTTCACGGGCAGCTGAGCTGGTGAAGGCAGAGCAGAGAGAGGGGAGCTGGGCTGCAGTTCCCGTGCTGCTCGCTCCAGCCCCCCTCAGCCCCTCCCACCCAGCCCATCCCAGCCCCAGCCCATCCCAGCTCCAGCCCATCCCAACTCCAGCCCATCCCAGCCCCAGCCCATCCCAACTCCAGCCCATCCCAGCCCCAGCCCATCCCAACTCCAGCCCATCCCAACTCCAGCCCATCCCAGCCCCAGCCCACCCCAGCTCCAGGCATCCCCAGCCCATCCCAGCTCCAGCCCATCCCAGCTCCAGGCATCTCAGTGCCTCTGGAGCCGCAGGTTGTGACACGGAGCTGGATCCCATGGGCACATCTTACACCTCCACCAGGTCACCAGAACGGTGCCTGGTGGCACGGGGGGTTGGCCCCGGCGCTGGAGGAGGTGGTTCCTGCACACAGAGCAGCTGTGGCACCAGGCAGCTGCCTGGCAGGCACTTGGTGTGGAATACAAACCACCCAGCCAGTTTGCTGGCAGCTGAGCCACCCCGTGTCTGAAAAGGGTCTGCACTCTTTCAAAAACATTTCATAAACAGTTCATTTCTTCCACCATGAATCAGAAGTGCTTGCTGGGCTCTGTGCACTCCAAGGCCCAGCAGAAGTGTTGCTGTTGACTTGAAACATTCCTGACTTGTAAAGCAACTGATCCAGTTTTTGCCAGGCTTGCCTTGTTTTCCACTTTCTAGAAACTAATTTCAAGTCTGGTGTCTGTGCAACGTTGGGCTTTATTTTACACCACTGCAATGATGTGCAATAAATCCCAGCTTTCTTTTTTATTACTGAATGAATTATGAGGTTGTTCAAAGCCTCCCTTGTGTGTGTGTGTGTTTTCCCAAGCCTGTTTGTTACTTCTGTTGTATCAAAACATCCCTCCAAAGAAATGATTCTCCCATGAAGACCCCAAGCCTGGACTTCTGGCTGGGCCTGCCTGTTACTGTGTAGCCCCCCCAGGGTGATGCTCCCTGACTGGTCCTTTCTCCCCAGGTGCCTGTCCTGTGTGAACAGCGCCTTCCGCTGCCACTGGTGCAAGTACCGCAACCTCTGCACCCACGACCCCACCACCTGCTCCTTCCAGGAGGGGCGGATCAACGTCTCGGAGGTACCAGACTGGGGTTTCAGCCCTTTCTTCTTTGCTTTTTCTAAGGCACAATTAACATAAACAGCAGGATGCTTGATGTGAAGGTTTTAAACTTTCCATGGGTTGGTGCTGCTCTCTTGGCTGGCGTCAAAAAGTGCAGCTTTAAGAGTGTATGAAGAAAGTGCCAGTTCAGTAAAAACTGTGTGTTGACCTGAACACCAAAGCTGTTCCACCTCTGATAGGTGGGTATGTTCAGGTTCAGCAAGAACTGGAATTTCTGGAGCGCTTTCCTGCAGGGGTCTCAAAGACTCCAGGAAGAACCAGCTCATTTCAGCAGCCTCATTTTACACACAGGCTGTGCAGGGATCCACCCGCTGGTGGCAGGAAGGCAGGGGCAGGTGGGACTCATTCAGTGGGTTGTGTTGGCAGCTCTGAAATGTATGGCAGAAGCCTGACTGTAAACTGATTCAGAAGGGAATTACAGATGTGAACAGCCCCAGAGTTTGGAAAAGAGCATTGATTCAGGTTCCAGTGCTGTGGACCAGGAGCCATCTCACTTAGTAGTTAATAAAAGGTGTGGGGCTCAAGTCCAAAAAGGCTCTTAACCATTGGAAAGAGACATAGCCCCTTAATGGCTTGGCCAGATCTTGTGCATGTCCTGAGGCAGAGGGGTCTATGGAGGACAGGATTTTGTTAGCACAAATTCCTGATCAAAAATTACCACTAACTCCTTGGTCTGGGGTTTCTGCACCTGTGGTCTTATTTGTGTGCTTCAGGTTCTCTGGGTACAGAGCAGTTACAGCTTCTGCTGCTGGTAGGATCCTGGTCTGCCCTTACTGTCCCTACATGTAGCTTTGTGGCACCCAAATTGGTCACAGGTCCTAATGATGCAAGGAAAAAAAAAGCTTAAAAGGTACTTTGAAAATCTGCAGTGTCTTGGAAAGTGGGAAAGACAGAAGTGAGGAGATGAACGTGTATTAGAGAAAGGGAGGGTAAGGTGAGCCAGCATCGAGACAAACCCTTATTGGTGAGTAGCAGAGGCAGAAGCAGGTCGGTAGAGCAGAACACTGAGCTGATCAAAAGCAGTGACTGAAGCTGCCAGGCTGCTGTGAAACCAGTAGTAAACTGGAAACTTAACTCATGGGTCAAAATGCTGCCAGGAGGCACCTAGACTCAAGGAAAGAACATTAGTGGACTGTGTGTGTGGTACCTCGGTGGGAAGGTGGAATTGACCAAGGGATGGGCAGTGTCCCTGGGAGCAGGAGCTGCCTCCTGCAAAGAACAAGCAGAAGGGCTCACATAGCAGCCTCAGACATCTACCCCAGGCAGCAGAGAGCACAGGTGCCTAAAGAGGAGTGTCCACCCTGGAAACAAACCAAAAGCATTCTCAGTCCAGCTGAAGGTCCAGGAAGCTCCTTTCAAGATAACAAATGAAAGCAAAAATCTTTGCTTGTCCTCTTGAGTGTTGTGGGGGATTTTCTCCTTCACATTCAAAGTATTACTGTCTTCCCAGGCTTTATAGGTGTAGTTCTGAGTTTTCTGTCTTCAACCCCATGATCTCAGAACTGACAAGTCTCTAGTAAAGTAGGACAATCCCATTATCTCCATTTTTCTCCTGGGAACACACAGGACTTGCCAGAGATCACACAGAGGGAGCAAGTGGAGGAGTTGGTATCTCTGCCAGTTCCTGCTGGGATCACAGGACTGTTGTGTCTCCAAAGAACTTCCTCTGTTGTCTTCATCTCGTAGAGGTGGTTTCTTACCAGGGGATGTTATATGATATCTAACACCTTCCTGGTGATTTCTTTTGCGAAGGGTTGATAATAATGGTACAGATGCTCCACTTCTCTGAACCTCTGAACAGGCAGGCAAAGCTGGTCCCAAACCCTGATTTGTTTGTGCATTAAGGCAAAGGAGCTGCCTCTTGCAGAGCTAATGCCTTTATTATGGACATTTCACTCCGGCTAACACGAGACATCAAATAAATGCCTCATAAAGAGTTTCCTCTCTTAAAACAATTCAGATCACAATGTTCTCATTGTGTCACAGCCTAATGCACTAGCAAAATATTTGTGCCTACCAACAGTGCTCCCTTCCCAGCATGGAGCTGGTTGTGTTTGGGTGCTGAGGTGGTAACGTGGTGGTGCCACCAGCACGTGCTGCTCCACCTTCAGTCCCAGGTGCCTCCTCTCACATAAGATTTGCACGCGTGTTCACACAGGCTTGAAAATTTTCTCCTGCCTTTATATTTAATTGAAAAAAAAATATCTTGAATATTCCCTTTTACTCCTGGCCCATCAGAATTTGTGTCCCAGTGGGATTTGATGTGTAACGAGCTCCCTTTGATGCTCCTCAGAGTTGTTTGTCTTGAGAAGGGCAAAGAGGTCAAAGCCACAGCTGCTTTGCAAGGTGAAGGGTTGGAAGGCCCTTCTTCATAAGCTGTAGATTAATGGCTGTATTGACTGATCTAAATGCTGCCTTTTTGCTCTGCTTTCCATGAAAATACAGCCAAGAGTACAAGCTATTCCTGTCTCTTCACCTGCCCTTTGCTAATGTCAAAGGGCAGAGCTCAGCAGTAGAGGTGAGACAGAGGATGGCCCCGAGGATGGGTCAGGGCTTGGAGATTTCTGTCCAATGGGCACCCAAAGTCTAGGGCTGGTTTGCACCCCCAAAAGCAGGGCTTCTCCAATAAGAGGGTTCCTGGGTGTGTAGCACTGATTGTCTTACTTTACAAAGCTTCAGATCAGGTGTAGGGTGTCATTTTAATGTGTCTGAGGTGGCTGGTCTGTGTGAGTGAGGTTATGTCTCTAAATGTATAAAACATGCAGATGAAGAGGAATGTAGATACATAAATTACTCCTTATGCCACATCCCAGTGGAGAGCTAGAACCAAATAAATCCTATTAGTTCCCCAGAATGTGGAATCCCATACCTCTTTGATGTCCACTGTGTGCAGATAATGCCATTTCCACGTGTGAGATGCTGAATCAGGGGGATGGAGCATTTCAGATTCTGGGAGTTCAGTGCAGAGCCAGGTTTGGGCTCTGGTCTGACTCCTTTAAATTCTCACTGCTTTGAGAGCAACACCTTTGCCCTTGGCTGTGCCCTGGGATGCTGAGTGCTGCTTGATGTGCCTTGAAGGAAATAAAAATCAAAGTGCCCTCATATCCGTCCTTACAATCCCCAGCATTGAACACCTGAATGGGAACTGGGATGTGCAGGAGGTAACTGAGCCACATCTCAGTCCACCAAAGTCAGCAAATCACTTTGCTGGGTCACATCTGACTTCTGGAGGGATGTGTTTGTCTGGAAAGTAGCAACAGCAAGAAAAAACCCAGTCGCAGTCGAGATGAATTCATCTTAATTTGGGAAGCTTGGTTTGAGCTTATTTTCCTCAGCAGATGGATGGGGTGTGGGACCTACAGAGCCTGGAGGGGCCAGGGAGGTGTTCCCACCTGGAACCTGGAGTGTTTGAGGAAATTGCTCCTCACCTCTGGTACACAAAGGGTTGTTTATGGGTGAGAAACAGGCTCTTCAGCCTTCTGTGCTTGCATGGCTCTCAGGGTCACGGGAGGTGACAACAGAACAGTGAAGCCCTGGGTCACAGCCCATGTGCAGAGCACAGAGCTTGGGACAAAGGGCCTGGGCAGGAATTCACCAGGGAGAAAAGTCTCAGTTCAGTTGCCTTTCTAGTTCTGTTTGGTTTCCAAGGAGCAAGGGCTGCTCTCCTTTCCAGGAGCATGAATGAAGAATAATGTGTTTCCATGAGTGACGGGGACTGTAATTTGTATCATTGGGAGCACAACTGTGAGCCAGAGGTTTACGTTCATCTGACACATTCGTTTATGTTTGTACCTTTAAAATACATGCACCAAGTTAACATTTGTGAAGAGTTTTGGTTTTTTTAAGATGAAAATTACAAAAACAGTATCTTTTCTTCCATGTGGGCTAAATCCCATAGTTAAAAGAGATGCTTGCCATTTCTAGGCATTTTTATCCAAATAAGAGCAAGAAGACTTGACCTACTAAAACTGCTCTGTTAGACACAAATAATAACCATGGGTGCTCTGCTCTGCTCTAGAGACAGACACATATTGTGGGCCTTTAAGCTATTTATAGACCTTGGAATCTTTGAGGCTAAAAAGTGTTGGAGAAGCATAAAATCTCTTTGTAAATTGTGTGCAATGATACTTCATAGGCAGAATATTCCCCGAGAGCCTGTGCCACTCATGTGTTGGAGTCTTGTCTTCCTCCAGCAGATCTTCTGATTTGTGTTTGTTCTGGTGTACAGAAGTCAAGAAGGATAATGAGGGGATTCAGCATGTTTGCTTAGTGAGAGGAGGCAATAATGGCCTTTCTAACTCACTGCAGGATTTACTTCTCATGAATTAAAAAACAAAGTAAACTGATTATGGAACAAATTGTATATTCTGCTGGCTGCAGTTCTGCCTTTTATTCTCTCTTTTCTGGATGCTCAGCTCTTCACAGCATTAGCTCAGGGAAGTACAGAATTGAGCACCCAGACAAAACCAGGGATGGTCTTTTTGTTTAACCCCAAGAGGGGACCTTGGCCACAGCCACACAGCTCCAATCCCAGCAGTAGGACTGGTGCTGCCAACTGCTTCCCAGTTCATTATGACATTCCTGTAAAGCAAATTAGCACTGGGAGAGGCATTACTAAAGCTGACAATACACCCCTGACAACATAATTGATTTTAGCACTGGCTTTTAGATCAGGAAGTGTACAGAAGAGGTTGTGAAGGGAGAAACCAGCCTGCCAAGTGAGCTTCTATATGGGATCACCCACTGGTGGGCACAGTGTGGGTGCAGCAGCACCCATGGGAGACGCGAACCCACACACATGCTCCAGGGCCTGGGTGTGTGCAGGAACCTGCATGTACATCATTGCAGTGGTAAAAACAATGGAAAAAAAGCCCTGAAAGCTGAACATAGATGGGAAATGGCACAAAGAGGAGACAAAGGCTCCCAGCAGCACTTCTGCACTGCCTGGGGCCTGGAGCGAGCCCCGCATCCTCCCTAGGCCCTTCCAGCCTTTGCAGCTTCACTTGCTCAGCTGATAAATTCAGCAGTAATGTGGCTCCCCTCGAGTGCCCTGGGCTTTCAGTAGAGTGGCATCTTCCTACACATCCCTCCATATAAAATGTACATCCCCTTGTTAGTGTGATCACTGGAGCTGTCAGCTCCTCAGAGGGGCTGCCTTTCTCAGTGGTTCCCCAAGCACCTGCACTCACAAGCTCCATGCCTTCTTTTTCACCAGGTTCCTAATGTAACATTTTTCTCCCACTGAAGCCAAAGGAAAAAAAATTCTATTATGTCCCACTCATCTCTAATGATGACAGAACAATTTTTGCTACCAGCATTTTCAGCACTACAGGGCAGATTTGAAACTGCAAGTCCTCTCCTGTGTCTCTAAAGGAAGAAGCATTTCTTTAGCAGTCGCCTCACGAGTGGCACTGGCCAGGGAGGATAATGGTCCATAACATATTCATTATTTTCGGGACTGTGCACTGAGGTTCTCCCACTGGTGATGTGGTTGGAGATTTTTTGTTTTCAATTACAATGTAATAAAAGATTCTGCAGCTCCAGAATACCTTTCCCCCCAAATAGGAGCCTTCCACAGAGCTGGGGACCTCACTGCAGTGGAGCCATTTGTCTCCCCTTGGACCCTGATGTGACTTTGAGGTTAAATGCAAAACCTTAGAGGCAACCTTGAGTAGAGGGTGGTACAGGTGTGCAGTGCATAACAAGGAGGAAGGGACGTGTGTGAAAAGTCAGCTTGGAAGAGCTGCAGCTGTGAATCTTGGGAGTTTGCTGGTGGTTGTGTAAAGTACGAGCTGGGGGCTGGATCCATGATACCAGGGTCTGTGGGAGCCTGGGTAAGCTGTGCAGTGGCTTTCCCTTCCAGCCTGCAAACCTACTCCTCTGCAGAAAAAGGCTTTTCTTCCCTTCCCAGCACAGCCCCTTTCTGGCTGCTGGAGTTTGAAATCACTCTTGGCTGTTAATCCGTGAAAGTCCCTGCTAGAAATAAAATAAAAAATATATAAGGAAAAGTGCCACTAAAAAGGTTTATGAGGCAGCGGTTTAAGCTACTGCCTTCTCCAGACCCGGGCAGCATCTGTTTCTCATTTACAACTTGCCTGAGCCAGTAGTGAGACAAGATCCCACCAGCCTGGCTGGGAGTGGGAGCACAGCTCAGCGTGTGTCCCGCTCCTTAGGGAGAGCTGGGGATTTTCCTCCTGGCTCCACAGTCCTAGCAGGAGCCTGGGGAGGATGGGTCTCCCTGCACCACCACCCAGGTGATTTCCTTCAATTGCCAGGCATGGTGGCAAAGGACTTGGGATGACAGTTGAGGATTTGTCAAAGGGAAAGGAGATGTCAGCCCATTTTTTTTCTAAAACTTCTACTTTAGCTTGGGATTAATCACTTAGTGTCAGGTACTTGCAGGTTCTTAGGTACCTGGTTTCATTAGATCAAAGCAAAATAGAGCTAAAGAGAATGTAAATGCTTCTGATGGTCAGAGCCTTTGTCTCTGCATGTTGCATTTCTTGATATATAAATTACGGAAAAATTATATTTCCCAGTGTGTTATGAAGAGATAATGTTCAAGATGTTGGGATCTTATGGGAGGAATGTCATACAATTGCCAGGCACTGATAGGGGGTTTTTTTTGCACTTCATCTCAGAGGATAATTTATACATGTAGTTTGTGCTCCTGAGGTCCTGGAGCTCTGCTCATCTGTGGAGTGAGGCTTGCAGAGTGAGTTTCCTTTTGTTTTGCACACAGCACCCTGCATAGTGAAGTCTTGAGCTACTACCAAATTAAAACTTGCTATTAATTTGCCATTGTGTTATTTTGGTTTGGTAGTGGCAGAAGTAGAAACAAATCATACTCAGAATCCCAGCGTGGTTTGAGTTGGAAGGGGCATTAAAGATCATCTAGTTCCCACCCCCTTGCCATTGTCTGTACTTTACAACTGCTGTTTGCTGGGGGAGGCCCTGGATTTATTGCAGGTGCCAAACCCTTTGCTGCAGTTCCTGAGAGAAAAGGTCAGTTCTGCAGACAGAATTTCAGAAGGCCCGTGGGGATCCGGATTAGGGTGCTTAATCCCATCTGTGAAAACCCCATCCCTATTCTTCTGGATCCTGACTGCAGCCAAATCCTCCCACCCTTGGTCATCCTCAGCTTCCCAGCAGCACAGGGCAAAGAAGAGTGTTGCTTTATGGATAGAAAGGGCAGTTTGGAGCTGATGCTTTGCCCACCCAGCTGGCGGGGATGGGCAGCCCACCCGGGCTGAGGAAAAAGCCACGGGAGCAGCAGCACAAGGTCACCGCTGTAACCTCTCCTTCTCTCCTGTTGCCCCCCCAGGACTGTCCCCAGCTCTTCCCCACAGAGGAGATCCTGATCCCAGTGGGAGAGGTGAAACCCATCACGCTGAAGGCAAGAAACCTGCCCCAGCCCCAGTCGGGGCAGCGCGGGTACGAGTGTGTCCTCAACATCCAGGGCACCATCCACCGCGTGCCCGCCCTGCGCTTCAACAGCTCCAGCGTCCAGTGCCAGAACAGCTCGGTGAGGGGCTGGGGGGCACCTGCCCCAAATGGGGGGGCAGCTCCCAACAGCTGCCCAGGGGGTGGGCTCAGCCACGGGGAGAATGAAAAATCCTGGAGTTAAACTTATCCCCGATTCCAGGTGGGAACCTGCCCTGGGCACTGAGGTGTTTCATTATAGAAGATTCTTTATCTGGCTGTTCCGGGATTGCTGGGGGTTGGAGCAGGGATGGGAGGGATGAGGAGGAGGGGATGGGAGGGAGGTGTTGAGGCAGGCTAATTCACACCCGGGAGATAAGGACAATCACAGACCCCTTATCGAGGAGCTGTCAAATTCCAGGTCATGGTAGCCCGATGAATAAAGTGATGCTGCAAACAGCGTGTGGCAGGCAAGGAGGGGGAGAGGAAAACTGCCAGGGGAGAGGGTACAGCTCAGAGAGAGGGAAATGAGCTGAGTGATGCTGCTAGAGAAGCAGGCAGGGGAGTGTAGCTTTCCTCCCTAGGATGGGGCTTAGCCCAGCAAACGGGCCTAACAGGATTTTACCCTAGGATGTCTGAAGTCATCATGGCAGGAACTCAAGGATGCTGAAACCCAACTGGCACACTCAGGCTTCCCAAAGGCCACCAGTGAGCCCCAGCCATGCTGGGGTGACACTTCAGCTGAGGAGAGCAGGGGAGAGCCTGGTCCTGCCCCTCGTTGCTGTGGCCAAGAGAGCCACAGGCAAACAGGACACATTCTGTTTGTTTTAGGCAGCAGAACAGGGTCTGTTTTAATACTCAGTTCTGATGGTCTTAAATTGTTAATGAAGTTTTGAATTTTTAAAAATTTCAGTAGATATTTATGTATCACTGGCCATCTCTGGGCTTTGCAGCTTGGTGGATAATAAATGTATTAATACTGTACAGCACTTTACCTCTCCAAAGCGATTTATAAACATGAGAGAAGCACTTTTATTCCTTTTAGGCTAATGGGATGTTGTAGGTAGGGAATGTAAGGGCCATTCTGTACCCACCAGTCTATCACTTGTACAGAAGATCTAGTTTCACACCAATTTAGTAAAACCCAGGCAAGATGAATCACTAAAACCAAATGTAAGTTAAAACTGTACAACTATTGCATGGGGACAGTCAAAGCAGTCTGCTTTGGTTTAATCATCCTTCCCTCATCCCAAAGAGGATGGCAGTGTTTGCTCACCTTTTAAAGTCTTTTGATTGACTTAAAGAGAGCATCAAAAAGGGGCATTATTGGTAGTAATTGTGATAATGGGATTTTCAGAATACACTGGGAATTCACCTAAAGCATCCAGACTTACTCTGCCGTGACCCCCAGGATGTCCATGAGAAGATGAATCATTCAAACCAGCTCTATGCTGGTCAAGGCTCTCTGCTCTGCACCATCTATTTTTGCTCAGCCATTGCCTGTTTCATCAGCCAGAGCCCTGCAGCAGGATTTTGAAGCTCCCAGTCTCACTGGGGTGCACGGTGACTGTGTAAGGAGATAGCCCGAAGGCAGCAGTCCTTCCAGTCTGATTAACTGGAGGGGCTGTATTGATAAGCTAGAGACTGAGTGACAAGAGCAACCACTGCTAGTAGAATAATTAATCTCTTGCCTCTTACAAGGACTAGATCTGATTTAATTATCTCTTCCTGGTGAGGAGAAGCCAAAGCAGGACCTTGGAGACGGAGTGTGAAAGCGGTGGTGGTTCAGACACCAGCATGTTTTTAGGCAGAGAATAGTCAGAGTTCCTTTAAAAATAAATGTTGAAAATCTCTTTTCCAGTTTGTGTCTCTGATACCTCCTCCCAAGCATTTAATTCTCCATCTTCTCCTGCAGTATCTCTATGATGGGATGGACATAAGCAACTTAGCAGTGGACTTTGCAGTGGTTTGGAACGGGAACTTTGTTATTGACAACCCGGAGGATCTAAAAGGTAACGTCAGCTGGACCTGGATTTTGGGGTGGGGAGGGAGGGCAGGGATGGGGGCTGGGCAGCGGCTGCTGGGGCAGAACCACATTACCTGCCATCACCATGGCTGCAGCCAGGGATGTTGTGGTCCCCCTGGATCCTGCTTGGAGAGCAGCTCACTCTGCTCCATGGATAGTGGTGCTCACTAAGCTTTGGAAAGGGGGAGTGCAAGTCCCTCCTGCAGCTCCCTGAGCCAAAGCTCAACGTGCACCTTTGCTTACAAGTCCAGAAGTAGCCGTAGCCCACGGGAATGCTTCTTGCTGCTGAGTGCCTGTCCCCTCTCCCTGCAGTTCACCTCTACAAGTGTGCAGCCCAGCGGGAGAGCTGCGGGCTCTGCCTCAAGGCCGACCCCAAGTTCGAGTGCGGCTGGTGCAGCGGGGAGGGCCGGTGTGCCCTGCAGCCCCACTGCAGTGCCCAGCCCTGGCTGCACTGGGCCGGCCGCAACGTCAAGTGCTCCAACCCGCCTTTCCCTCTCTTAAAATCCACCGTCATCCGGTGCTGGAGAACCGGGAATGGAACGCTCCGTTAGTTTCTGTGGCATTAAGCCCGTGCCCAGCTGGCCCTGCAGTGGGGTGACCGCTATGGACTGTTGCAGGGTTGCTAATTAAACTAGGGAATTAATTAGTCTATAGTTGATGTTTCTGTTCAGACCACTGAGGGATGCAAAATGTCTCCCAGGAGCATTTTTACCAGTAAAACTGTGCTCGGTCTGTTAACGTTGCTATTAGGAGTGATGTTCATATCAGGTGGGAATGAAAGAAGATTTTGGCTTTTCACTAAATGAACTCCCCAGAGAAGCCTCCCTTGCCCTGACTGTGTGTCCACACTGCAGAAGGTGGAGGCCAGGGGTGGGATGTGCTGATGCTCGTGGCTACGGAAGCGCCTGGCAGAGCAGGAGCAGGGCTTCTCAGCACACAAACTTCTCCCTGCTGCATAAGGACACTGTACCTGTGGATGTTTCTTCTTACCTCCAATTAGTTTCTACACAAACTTAGCTAAACCAGGTCATGCTCAGTCCTCCTGGGAGGGAGGCACCAGCCACCTTTGTATTGAGGAGCCTGGTGGTGGTGTGTCAGGGTTGGAGCTGATGGGAGGAGGATGGAGAGTCCATCCATCCCACAGGGACATCACCAGGCCTTTGGTATGTCCAGCCATGTTACACCTTTAATGGGCAGGTATTTCTCCTGTGCTGTGTTTTGTAAACTGCAGAGTGGAGCTTGAGAGGCTGTGGAGGAGCAGAGGTGATGGTGCTGACTGCAGAGAGGTGTAGAAACCTTAAGAAATGTTGAGAGTCTGTTGTTTCCATGTTTGGATTTCGTTTGTTTGTTTGGCAAATGCAGCTATCTTTACAGAGAGGAGAAGAAGAGCCTTAAAGGTTTGCCTGGATATTCACCTTCTGCAAGTGGTCAGAAACCCAAGTTTTCTAGTCCTAGTGCTGTTCTGGTCGCACAAGATTATGCTGCGAGATGCAAAATAGGCTCTGCATGAGATTTTCTTCACCATAAACCATTCAGACAGTTGTAACATTGAAGAAGTCTCAGATTTATTTATTTACCCCTCCTCAAGCTAAACAGAGAAGGGGAAAAACACTCTGCTCCAGCCACCAAGTGACTGGCATGGAAGCCCTGCCAGGCTGGCTCTGGCTGCGGGCACTGCCACCCAGTGTTTTATCACTGTCCAACTCAAAAGCAATACTGTTGGTCTCTGTCCAAGGAGAGAAGAGCAGAGCTTGGCTGTTACAGATTTCTTGTCTCCATAAGCAGTTCTGTGTCTCAGCCTTCAAAGTGGAAAGCACAGGGTGCCTCGCCAGGGGATGTTTTGCATGTCAGGAGATTGCCCTGGGTGGGTTTGGAGACGAGAATGGAGTTGGAAACGTCTGTGCTTTCCTTGGCAGGTTGGCTTATTCCACAGTGAGGGTCACAGAAAGAAAATAGATGGTTCAGGGGGAAAGTCCTGCCCTGTGACCTCAGCTGACTGGCAGGGCTGTGAGCTGTTGTGGTTTTATCACAGGTCCTGCAGTGTTTGGTGTTTTTCCTTGAACTCCAACTCCCACCCTTCTCTTTATGAATTCACAGCTTTTGCTTTTGGTTGGTTTGTTTGTTTTAATGAAAGTCAAGTTTGCAGTTTTTGCTGTTGTAGAGAAAGAAGGGGAAACTAGTGGCCTTTATTGTGTGCTTTGAGATCCACTAATAGGAAGGGGCTAAAAGTTCTTGCTGTCAAGCCAGAGGTGAAGGGCCTTGCTCTCAAGTGCCAGTGCCTTTGGGGGATGCATAACTAGGAAGAAGAGATCATGTTTAAATAATTATAAAAGTAAATGAGCAGTAGGACCTTTTTTTTTTTATTTATTAAGAGAACCAGCTGTCACCAAGAGTGTCCCTTTAACAGCATAAAACTTCCACACGGTCCGTGGTCTTAGCAATAAATAAACAAAAATAATTTTCTTGTGAACAAGCAGCACTCTGATCTCCTATTCATTTATTTGCAGGCCTCATTAATATCACATCAGCGCAACAAACAGCTTGGGGGGGGGGGGGGCAGTGACAGGGTGAATAATGGAGTTGCTCTGCTGAGATAACAATTAGGTTCTGAATGTGCTATCAGCTAAGGCAGAGACAAGGAGGGATCATGCAGGGATGACAATGCTTATGTACTGGTTCCCTGCTGGGCTCATCAGCTGGGATCCAGCTAGCTTAGAGCAGGATGCAAAAAGACAAAGGGGATGAAGGTGGATGGCATTTGGGGAGGGGGACAGGATTTATGGCATTTATTCTGCAAGCCGAGTGCTCTCTCCTCACCCTAACAGATGCCAAGTGGTTGTTGCGCAGCTCAGTCTCAGGCTCACAGCTCCCTCCAGCTCCAGAAGGAAAGTCCCATCTGACTCACAGCCAGTCCTGGGTCTCCCCTGTCTCATGCACAAACTTCTTCTGGAAGCTAAATATGGTTTTATGTCATAAATACTGAACCATGCAACCAGCAAGATGTGAGGCTGAGAATATTTGTCCTGCACTGTTATAGCAGTGTCTTCTGCAGACTGGGGAGGGAAGTGTGCTGGCTCTAGGGGAGAAGGGGAAAGCTTCTGGGATCCCCTGAGTCCCAGCCTCAGGGATCCCTGGGATCCCCACCTTGACTTCAAGAAAAAAATCAGCAAGAATAGAAAGGCAGTGACACATCTGCATCCCTTAAGGGATGTGAGGGTCACTGAGCTCCTACCACCACCCACTTCATCTCTGTGAATAATCCAGTGCTTTACACCTGCGTTAATTCTTTCCCTGAGAAGCAGGAATATCTTTTATTAGAGGTGGTGGATCACTTACTTGTTTCATGCCAGGCTCGAGGCTGATGGAGAGGGGAGAGGTGACCTGCTCAGTATAACTCAGGGGATCAGCAAAGCTGAAGGCCCTGCCTCCCAGGCCCTGCTTTAGACCCCAGCCACTTTTAAACTGCTTCGGTTCTGCAAACAACGTAAACAACTTTCAGCAGAGGTACAGGCTCCTTAACAGTAAACACAACATTCCTGATAATGGCCTTGCTTTTCCTTAGCTGCCCTTCCCAGGGACTTCTGATGTCTGAGTGGAAAGCTACTTTGCCAAAGCATATTTCTCAAAATTGGGGAATATTTCTTAATTCTGTTTGTCTCTGACCTGAAATCTGGGCTGTCCTTGCAGCCAGACCTGTGTCCTGAGCAGCTCCCCAGCCCTGGGCGAAGGCAGAGACAGGGGGTCCCTCAGAGCCCCAGGGATGTGCTGGGCTGGGCTGGGCAGTGTGGGGGGAGTCGCCAGCGCTCGGTGCGCCGGGACCTTTAAGACTTATCTTCTTTCTGTGATTTTGACTGAATCTCTCCAGCTGTAATTAATTGAATGCATCTGTTCGAACCCTGGGGCTGCTTTATGGCACAGTTACTTCAAAACTGTTCAATTAGCGGCCACTAAAATCTAGGTCGAGTGGAGCTCCATATTGGGGATTTTCCAGGTCAGGACGTTTTCAAAATGCCGCCCGGGCTGGGCTTTGTCTGCAGGGCCCGTTCCCTCCCCTGGCTGTGGCCAGGTTGGGAAATGGCAAACTGTGACTCTATTTTTTTTTGAACAGTGATGAGACAAGGAGCCTGGCAGGATAAGTGCTCCAGCAAACATGTTTTAACATAATCCCGAGCTGCAAAGGACAGTTGTAACTGTCAAGTAGGTGAAGTGGCGGGTTCAGGTGATTCCCAGCCAGAGATGTAAACATTTCCCACACAGGCCTTCAGGATCTCTGTAACACAATCCAGCTTGATGTTGTAGGGGCTTTTTCTGGGCACGTGGTGCTTCACAGAGCTAAGTGATACAAGACATGCTCAGCAGTACGAGGTACAGGGAACAGCAGCACAACAGACAGTGTGCAGGGAATAAATTAGAAACTTCCGTTGTGTGGTTGAAGGGAAAGGGAGGAAGAAATTAAAGCCCATAGATAGGAAGTAGCTGGTGGGTTGAGGTGCAGCTTGTGGTTTTGCTGGGACCACAGAGCAGGCTCAACACTGCTACATGTGACCGAATGTGAGGGATCCCCCTCAGCCCACGGTGCAGCAGGTTGCTGGGACAGGCTGGTGTTGCCTGGGGCTGGTGCTGCCTGGGGCTGGTGTTCTGCTCCTTCCCAACCTGCTCTTATCCAGGGAACAACGAGCTCTTGAGAGAGTGAAAGAAAAGCAGCCATCCATCCAGAAACATCAAGGAAAAGGCTTTGAAGAGCTCAATTCTTTTCTCCAAGACACTGGTGAAACAAACAAGCATGAACAAGATAAAATAAACTAAATTGCATTATTATGGATTATGTTTATTTATTAAGAATAGCTGTAGCATGGGGAAGATAACTAACAACAGACTGGTGTCAGATTCAGGAGAATTTTTTGAGAATCTTGGGTCCAACTTTTGTGACTCTACATTATTGTAATTTATACTCCTAATTGAAGAGGATATTGTCCCTAATGAAAGCCTGTAGAAGCAGAGATGATTATGGCTGAGGCAGGCTATAAACAGTCGTTTTAAAGCACAGGCCTCACCCTTTAACATTTGTAAGTCATTTGAGGTGCCAACTTACTAATAAAATGTGACATTAGCATTCCAAGAACAGCCAAGGCAGGAGTTATCCAAAGCAGGAGGCTGCTTCTGAAAGGAGACTGACCATCTTCTGTATGTTCCTGATGACCTCTCTTGGGGCATGACATGGATAGATTTCAGCATCCTTGGGCTGAAATTCATCTGTGTTGTATTGATCTGGGTTTGGGCATCTCCAAGACATCCAGGAGGGTTATGAAATGGTGGCATTGGACTGGGTTGGGCAGTAGCAGCAGGTAGAGGTTGCAGCCTCAGCCTCCCTGAGCAGCCTGCAAAGCATAGTCTGTTTCTGAGCCAGACGCGGGGTTGAAGAAGCACGGGAGGAAGGGGGACAACAGCTCAACTTCCCTGTGTTTTGTTTCCCTCTAGATCCTGACAGTGTCAGGCCCCCCAGAAGGAGGGACAAGGGTGACCATCCGTGGTGTGAACCTGGGCCTGGATTTCTCCGAGATCGCCCGGGGGGTGCAGGTGGCCGGGGTGCAGTGCACACCCCTGCCCGAGCACTACATCGTCGCAGAACAGTGAGTGGCCTCTGGGACCTCACCCTGCCCCTCCGCGGGTCCCCAGGGCTGGCCAGCCTGCACAAAGCCTCTTCCCTGACCTCCAGCACACGCACAGGAGGCCAAAACCACCTCCAGACCCCAGGCACCATCTCTGCAACCTTTCCATCCCTGCAGGAAGGGGTCTGGAGGTGGATAACGCCTGGACCAGGGCACCTCTTTCCCACACCCCGAAGGGACGACGTGTTTGTGTGGGTTAAGCAGCCCTTTAAGCTTTCATGAAGTGTTTTGTTTTTCTTCCACGCCACTGTTCCTGCTTTGCTAAGCAACTTTTCTGCTGAGCCCCTGGCTGGTGATGCTGAGCCTCTCTGCCCCCCCCTGCTCCCCACCCCACTTGAGATGCAGCCGGCGCCGCTCCCCGCGCACCCATTTGTTAGGCAGTGACAGCAGCTCCATCCGCACGGGGCTCCTCTGGAGTCCATTCATTTATTTCACTAAGGAAAATGTCAACTGAAAATTAGAAAATAGGCTTGTAACAGAGGATGGGTGAATAAACCTCCGAAAGTGACACGAGCTCCTGCGGCTGTTTTGAAGGTGGCTGTAGCCAAGGTGCTGGGGGGGGGGCGGGGGTCAGTCGTGCAGGGCAGGAGCAAGGTGGGATGTGGGGAGTGTCTCATCTCATCTGTTGGAGACCAGGACAGCCTTTTGTGTGGTGGGGCTGAGGCTGCTCATGGTGGGTGTGGGGGAGCCCAGGCTGGTCAGGTGGTCTCAGCAGCACTGACCTGCCCCGGTTCATCAGCAGCTGGAAGTGGCTGTTGTCCTCTGGTGGTGAGATGCATTTGGTGAGTCCCAGTCACTCTGGAAGAACCTGTCACTGACACATGTTGGTCTTGATTTGTTTTTTCACTGACTCCTTTTCTTTGCTTCCACACCTGCAAGACAGACATGACACTAATCTCCTCCTCAACCAGCAAGGGTGTACCAGTGTATCTTCCCATCATGGGCTGAAGATCATCCCATCATGGGCTGAAGGGCAGGATGGCCATGCAGTGCATCCTTGGTGTTACTGCAGGGCTGGTTTCAAGCACTGCCCCAACTGTCCTGTCACTACTAGCAGTTTGGGCTGTGCTGCTGAATGGTATTTAGTCTTATTTTTCAAATAAAGGATGGAAGATTATAAAATTAACCTCCTTTGATGGCATGAAACCCTGATTTTATAATCACGATTCTAATTATGGCTCTTGAGCTTTCAAAGTTTGTTAACATCATTAAAACATTTACCCTGGGCAGATAACAGCAAGTGTTAGCATGAGAGCTGCCTTTTAAAGACGAATACAGATAAAAGGACCCTCTTAAGGGTTCTGTGGGCAGACTGAATTCCAGCACTGTAATGACTCACCATATGCTCCAGCCACGCAATCTATCAGCCAGCAATTAGGTTAATGTTGGTGAAAGGGCCACTTAGCCCAGCAATCAGCACCCTACAGCTCTACCGAATGCATCATTTTGTAACAAGGTACCTGCTGGGAATTTGGCTTTTCTCAGGGACTGGGATCAGGTGAACCAGGTCGCTTCTGCCCCTGTCCTGCAACCCATCATTCCTGGTACTTTCTGTACTGTGCTGCAGCTGCTGCTTTACTGGCAAACAGTGGAGGATTTGATGTCTCTCCCTGTCTTTAGCACTTGGCTTATCCTGGCTTCTTGTGGAAGAAAACCTCCTCTTTCCTCTGCTGCCAGTGGGGTGTCAGGAATTGCTTTGCCTTGAGAGATGACTGCTCCCAAATGTCAGCCATAGCCCACAGCCTGGCAGCATGGAGCCCCTGCCTTCTCACCCCACAGCCTGTCTGCAGAAGAAAGAATGAAACAGCAGGCAGAGAGGTGGAGGGGTGATGTCTGGTTGCAAGGCAGAGAGGGGAGCACGTGGCACAGGAAGGCACACAGCTGAGATGCTTCAGTTCCTGGTCTCCAAAGGCAGCATCTCTCTAGGCAACCCATTCTGATGTGCAGAAATAAGGACTTGCACATTAGAGGTCTTTACTAGCATGTATGTATTTCACTAGGTCTCCTGGCATCACCTGCACATGCTGTTTGCAGGTTCTCTTTTCCTTTAGTCTCTTTATTTAAATTTATCTTGTTTTATGCTGCTGTAGGCAGCTGAAATGCTGCCTTCAGGAATCAGAGACATTTGTGCATTTGCCGGGTCTCAGCAGCAGAGCCAGTGTTGCCCTGTTCCTCTGCCCTGCCAGCCTCAGGGGAAAGGATGCTTTGACTCTTGGGGAAAGGATGCTCTGGCTCTCACTCTTGCACTCGGGGCCAGACACCAACAAGCAGCTCACTGCCAGTGCCCTGAGGGCAGGTTACTCCTACCCGGAGGTTTCCAGTGCCTGGCAGGATGGTCTTGAATTATTCTTTCCAGTGTTTCCGTGGGAGCAAGGAGCATCCATCCCCTTTGACATCCCTTTGGAAACCTCTCTAACCTGCTGCCAGGACAAGCCTTTGCTTTGTCTCCTCTGCAGCAGGTGTTACACATTCCCAGTGCCCTGGGATGTTTGGATTACATGCTCAGAGGGTGCATGATGAGGGTTCCCTGCCTTGGGATGTGCCCACAGGGCTGCCCTGGGCCATGTGAGCAGCACCAGATTAGTGTCTTTTGGTGCCACTAACTCCTTTTACCAGCATCAGTCTGTTCTGTGCCAGCCAGTCCTGTCTCCCCTGCAAAGGCTGCTCTCCAGGGCTGCCTCTATCATCCCCGAGCAGGTCTCTCCTTTTTTGATTAACTGGGAGACTGCAGTGTGAGCTGTTCCCTTAATGAACTCATCTGTTACTCTAAGGACTTCGCACTCGCTTTGCTACTGGCTAATATATTGCCATTAGTGCTCTGCTTTGCTCTGGAGTTTACAGCTTGTAATAATTATGTCTAATTTTGATTTTTTTCTTTAAATTACTACACGGGGTAAAAATAGACTCAGTAATTAACTTCTTCCAAAGAGGCAGATATCAAAGTAAAAGAGGGATGGGGGGAAAAAGGAAGCGAGGCAGCCCTGCATGGAGCTGCTGAGGGCACTGCTGGCTCCTCCTGCCACCGCCTCACTGCGGCATTTCTGCTTCCAGGATCGTCTGTGAAATGGGGCAGGCACTGCCAGGGATCAGCTCCGGCCCAGTGCTCCTGTGCATCGGAGAGTGCAAGCCGGAGTTCACAGCCAAGTCCACGCAGCAGTACATGTTTGTGGTGAGTGTCCTGCCAGGGCAGGGGGGCAGCACGTGTCCCCCTTGGGACAGACACGCTCTGCAAGGGCACGTGTCAGATAGATGGGGTTCTGCACCAGAAGACAATCCCAATTTTGTCCTCCTGGTTTCCCCATTGTTCCTTGGTAGCCCTGTCAACAAGCCCAGTTTTCAGAGTAAACAGGATTTAGGTGGGAACCTAACCCAGGGTTCCCACAGCACTTACACCTCCAAAACAGTGATAACCTGAATTTCTGGGCTCAGTTATGCCTTGCAAACTGCAGTGATGTGATCCCA